TTTTTTTTGGTTTTTCTCCGGTACCGGGAACCGAACTCACGACCTTGCGCTTGCCAGGCAGGCGCTTTGCCGCTGAGCTAAATCCCTAGCCCCAAGCTAAATCCCCAGCCCCCAGCTCAAAGAGTTTTGAAGTGTCCGTCTCTCCCAGAAATAACAAGTGAGAGCAAGAAGAGGGTCAGATGGGGAAGGTATGCGAGCAAGTGTTCGTGAATTCTTGGGTTTTTTTTTTGTACCGGGAATCAAACTCAAGACTCTGCACTTGCCAGGCAGGCACTTGTGCCACTGAGCTATATCCCCGGCCCTGTTCATGATTTCTTTCTCCCAAAGCTCTCTCCCAACATCTTGTACAGTATGTGTCATGAGGTTGGAGCTGAACAGTCCTTGCTGAATGAATGAGGTCTGAGTGGCAAATCGGTGCGGTCCACTGAGAGCCTGGGTCTCAGCACAACTCCAGAACAGAGCCTCCATCTCCTGAGTCCTTTGGGTCTTTGACAGTGAAGGGGCTCTGGGATTGTGGCTGGGCCACCTCTGCATGACCCCTGTGAGGGACAGGTGGGAAAGGGTGGACAGACTTGGGGTTTCCCCTACTCAGCCCCTCACCAGGTAGCCTTCTTTGAAGACCCCTTCCCACCCTAGACAGCCCTCTCCAAAGCTCCCAGTGGTCAGACAGGAGCCCCTGTTGGGCTCTGTATCCCAGACCCGTCCCCGACCCGCCCACATGAGATAAAACTGCCCAAGCACTGAGGATTCCTTCCTGAATTCACTTCCATCTTGTGACTCATTCATTGGACTTTTTCTCTCTCCACCTGCTCGCCTGGTAGACCCCGCCCCGTCCGGGCTTCACTGGGCCGGGCTTCGCTGGTGGCTCGCGTCTACCTCAGACTGTGTTTCACTTCTCACACATCAGCTCGGATGGTTGCTCAGTCCAGGATAAAAGCAGCGCAAAGGGACTGAGGCAGGAGTGCCATTTTGGGTAGGCCTGGGCAGCCAGGGACCCCTTGTCACAGAGCAGCACACCCGGATCCACATGGGAGACTGAGGCTGAAGACTCCAAGCTAAACAGAGGTAGAGACCAGAGCCGACACCCTAAGGGCACATTTGGTCTCCGTCAGTCACACAGGAGCCAGGGCAGGATGGAGCCAGGTGAGAACCACAGCATGGCGTGACAGTCACCTCCCAGGACAGTCCTGAAG